TAAAAGCAAATCCACATAATAACCCTTTGCACTCGATTTATTTTCAATGCTGTTGGGTGTAAACTTGTATTTATTTTTAAGGAAATGAATTAAAGTAATTTATAACGATAGAATTCAATGTTTTATGTTTATTTATTATTATTATAATAAGATTTAATTTTTATAATCACTTAAAGTGTGGTACTTTTCAAAATAATTTCCAACGTTCTGGAACAAATTTGTATTGTCATCTCCAGCATAACATACGAGTGCAAAGGGTTAACACTTCGACTGCTAAATAAAAACTCATCAAAACTCGCGAGGAGTAGAAACAGTTTTCTCAGTAAAGCAGAAACTAAAGAGTGAAAATTCTTCGTGACGATTGCTCTACTCATGTATCCAATAAAATTTGATTCGTTTGATACGTTATGAAGATAATGAATATTTAAGTTTATGTAAAAAATGGTGGCTGAATTCGGGTGATATGGTAGTCAAAGTGTTAAATAAAAACGTATTAAATATTTATTTCTTTATAATATTTATTGGAGTTAATTTAACATTTTTAAAGTTTATTTTTAATTTGGAAAATTTAATATGGACATGAATATTATCGTTTAAAAGTTTAAGAATTACTTGTAACATTCATTACTTGTGAATGGGGATGAAATAAAAGATAATATAGTACATTGTTTCTTTGCTTTAGTAAGTTTATTTGGGGTTCCTTTTTTATTGCATTGTTTGCCTTCTATTTCAGCAAATAGAAATATTGTTTTCTCTCCTATTTTATATATTTCTAATTGGTTGACGAATTATGAGGATATTCTATTACAATTAATTTATTTTATAATAAAGTTCATAGATTATCAGTTGCATACGACACAATTTTTATTAGCTGGTATAGAATGTAAAATGACCACAAACGAGAAGTTTGACTGAATAACTAATTAATAATTCCAGTTTTACGGTTTTTATGCAGTTATATGTATTAGCTTGAAGTATTACAGAAAAATTTACACTTTGATTTATATTTCTCGTATCGAAGAATCCGAGTTTCAGTCTTTTCTGATAGGTTATCCCAAACTTTTAAACGGTAATGTAATTTTTATATTTTCCACTTTTGATATAATTGTACAGATGATTTAAAATCATAACATTCTACTACATCAAGGGAAATATTTCAAAATGTACCACGCACAATAAAAATATTAATTAAAAAATAAAAAATTTGTTATACATATAAGTGTGTACGACAGATACTTTATAAAAAGTTTTAATTCTGAAATCAAATTTAAATAATGACGATTCTATTCATTTATTTAAAATGTGCGGTCGTCAAAGTGTTAATTCGGTACATACCTAAGCACGTGAGAATAAGGGCGAAGCGATATATATACAGATGTTACTGGATCGTATAATTTATGAGCTTTAAAACCTTGAAGTTCGATTTATGGTGTATCCAAGCTTCTCTCTGCCGAGAAAGCATCATAAATTGATTGAATATATTTAACATATATTCAATTAATATATTCAATATTTTAAATATATTTTTTTATAAATCCCTTGAATCAGCAAAAAATAATTGTATAAATAATGTATTATACGAATCCTATTTCAACGATTCAAAGAATTTAATAAAGACTATTTTAGCAATTGAATTCTCTAGTTTTAATGAATATTGAAAAAGTAGGTCCATATTTATAAGAAATGTAATCATAATTATGAATAGTCAACAGTTTGTAAAAAAAGTATATGTATTTGCAGTTTAGGAAAGATACATTCGAAGACACCTGTAACTATGGTTTGTTGTTAGTGGCAAGCATATGTGGCTAAATGTATTGTAATGGAATCATAGATTATTTTATTTAACTTTTCTTATACTATTTATTTACTTATTATTAATGAAACATATGGCGAAAGTAAACTATTGTTTATCTAACTTACGTTAAGTTAAATAGATAAAACTATTTTATCAATTGCTAGTAAATAAATAGTTAAAAAAGAATTCTCTCACTTGAGTTCCTTTCGAATTCGTTTTTGAAAGGATCGATTTTTGATGTTATCGATTAATGATAATGTTATCTTCACCTAAGTTAGTTGACCAGGAAGAGTTTGTTTTTAATCAAGTATTCGCTCCTTATTACAAGTCCAATATCTATAAACCATCCACGAGTATTAGCGACGTTGACGAAGGACATCCAGACTGTTATTGTCTAGTGGACGTTAACATCGTTTTCGATAGGTCGATCATCCTCGCTTTCACCGGTCCTTGAGATATTATCGTTGCGTCAGAACGTCTCGCGATTTCATTCCATTTCTATCAATTCTTATAGGATTGAACCTGAAGCAAAATATTGAAAGTTCGGTATGCTTGCCACTAAAGTATGACTACTATTAAACGAACTTGCCTTATTACTTTTTTTTTTACAACTGCACCTGTTAGAACTATTTTATTATTAATAATTTACTAGAAATAAAACAGAGGTCTATGTCTACATTTATACTAAAGATGAAAAATTTGTAATAGGAAAATAACATTTAACTTTAACTCAGAGGAATACAATGGTATTTCCATTTGCTAATTTCGGTTCGACATTTTTGTCACGGCAAAGGCAAGGGGTTACTAACGTATTATTTAAATATATCAAATTACACAATTTTTCTCAATTTTAAGTACACTTTCTCTACAACTAGTTGTTTATTTGTACGGTTGTCGTAGACATGGATCTAGTATTTCTTCAAATGTCTTTGAAATTGAAAATGGCAATCTCTGAAGTAGCCTTTGTAAATCTCGAGTTTCGATGACATTTCATAAATAGAGTAACATCTGTGGTATCGCGAAGTTGCTCGCCCTTGTTTTCGAGCGCGCTGACTATGAGTTAATAAGCTTGTATGTTGGTTTGTGATGCCACGCGTGAAAGTAAATACATATACTTCAAAATACGAGAAATTAGCTCGGTGACGTATATTTTCACGAGAAATCACGAGGAATCGCCATTGATTTTCTTATAATGCGAACCACTGATAAAGATCGTTTGTTATGATATGTCCGTGACACTTTTCTGGCACGAGCATGATGCTCACGGAATCGTATGTGACACAAATGTAAATTCACAACGTCAAGTTCGAATATATTGTATTCATGATCGTCCTGTTATTTAGTTGAAAGTGTCATTGGCACACGTGTTTTCAATGTGATAATTTACTATATATAATTTTACTACGGTACAAAAATATTTGTACTTTAACACTAAAACTAGCAAACCAGTCAAATTGACCACTTCGGAATCTTTATTTTGCAAGTATTTAAATTACGAAGGTGTCCTTATGGAAGATCTTCAATTAAATTTGTACTAATTTTGATGAAAGATTGAAAATAAGTCACTCTAATTGCTCGGTAGTTTTAGTGTTAATTAGGAAATAAACTGGGTCGACATCGCATTTGGTACTTGAAGCGTCACTTCCGTGAAACGTTCATATTTACACATTATTACATGGATTACCGTCCGGTTCCTTTCCTTTCACCCTTCTCTTCAGTAATCTCTAACTGTATGGCGAAACGTACGGTTGAAGCATTCGGCGTTCATCAAATTTCATTGATTGAACGATTTGCAATCATGGAAATTCATGAACTGCAGGTTGCTTCAAGAAGCTAGTATGATTATGTAATAATCTTGGTGGACTGAAGTAAGGAATGGACTATTGTCGAAATCAGAAACGGTTCCTTTCTCCTATGATAATGTAAAGTAAAAGCTGATGTTATTGATTACCTTTAAAAGTGATTGTATATTATATTTTGATAGCTTAGTTTATTTGTAGAAGATGATCAACTATTTTTTTACCAGTTATAAAATAATAGAAATAATTTACATAAAGTATTCTACTAATTATCATTGAATCGAGACACTATTCAATTTCGATTAATTTTTGCTTAAATTATATTTCATATATATGTTCAGCAATTTTACCTCCATTCTATAAATAAGTATAATATAACTATCAATAAATTATTATACAATAACAATTTTTGAATAATTCAACATTGATCTCGATTCCATTGTAAAGTTTGTTACCACAGTCCTCGTAAATACAAATATTCCGTATAAATAATTAGAGATTGATCTAATAGAAAAATCACCCAAATCCTAAATCATCATTTCCATTCTCGATATTCTAAAAATATAAAATATCTACATTTTGGTGTATTAACATTCTCTTATAAACTATTACCAATTTCACTGACAGTTTCTATTAATCGAGCTGCCGCCTTGAACACGAATTTCAATGAAAGTATTTAATCATGAAACAACGCAAACCAGTGACGTCATAGTTCCATGTACCCATCGAGTCGGTAACTATTCTAGAATCGTGATAGTCCACCACGATTAGTCTAGGACAATTCTCTGTATTAGATGTCAGAGTGCCGCCATGTTCCGGTTGATCGCACATTCCTCTAACTGTGGATCATTCTCGTTTCAGGGTGCCACCGGGTTACGTGTATCAGTCGCCTTACCTGGCGGCTGCGGCGCCAGGTGGTTTGGTACCGCTTCCGGCGACGCAGTTGACCCACGCCGCGGCGATGGCGGCGGCGTCCCAGTTCTACGAATATCAGAACGTCGCGGCCGCGGCCGCCACGTATCCGGGGACATCGTACAATTTCGCCGAGGCGTATCCTTATACCAGCGCTGCCGCGGCTGGTATGTGTTTGAAAACTGTCCAGAGCAAGGACAACAACGGGCTGATACACCACCATCAGCAGCACACCGGCAGCAGCCCCGCGGTGCTGGCACAGCAACGATTGGAGAAAGCTCTCCTGCCGCCCTTTCTGCCGTCCTTGCTACGTAGCAACGGTAGAAATTCATTCGAGAACAGAACGCACTGAGAAAAAGGGGGATGCGTGCGAGGGAGAGAATGAGAGGGGCGAGACTGAGCGAAAGACTGAGCGAAAGAGAGAGCAAAGAGATCTTTGGGGACTTCCTTTTCGTAGTGCGTAGTTGTGCTCGCCAGGGTGAATCTTTGCAAGATTCCCGCGACCTCTATTCGGACTTGCGTCTCGCGTGTAGAATGTCAAGATTACAAATGCATTTCTTCTTTTGTATCAAATGTTTCTACGAGTTTGGTATTATTTTCTAACTGATTTTTGTCGAATCTTATTTCGCTGGTTCTAAGCATGTGAGCTCGATAGCATTATCTTGAATACGGACACGTGCGCAGCAAAGTTACTTCTATTGAATATTGTTAGTGAAAGCGATGCATGTGTCGTGACAGCTATAGCATTATTCTTTTTTTTCTAATGCGTTACAAGTTAGATTTAGACGGAATTAACATTGTTTAAAATGCTGCACGTGTCGACAGCCTTGTCACGTTTTCTTAATTCAAATGTTCTCCGATTTTAAAGGTGTTACACTTTTTGTAGAAAGTGTTGCGCGATGTATATACTAATCGTATGATGTTTGTCACTTGCGGTGTAAGATTGGCAACAAGTGACTGCAATGTAGATAGATCGTTACTTTAGGTAATTTATTTTGAATTTTCATTATATAATCGTTTTGCACGTAATTACGTTGCGTTATAGTTTTGTTCACTTGTTCGTAAACTTTGTAGTACGTGATTTTTGAAATATTTGAATCCACTTGTAGTATGGTTGTCCATTAGTAATTTTTCTTAGTTACTTGTTAGTGCGTAACAGACAGAATTGATCAAATTTGATATTTTCAAAATCAATATTCGCAGTAGTATTCGTTATAAATTTTCATTCGCTGTGGATTACGTACATTTTTATTTATTGCTACAGAATACGTTCATATATTTTATTGGAAAGTAATCTTGATATGAATTTCGAAAACAACTAGATACCACTCGAAACGGTAAATTTTTGTTGATATTTAATTTTTTCTATTGGGAGTCTTGTAGTGAACTTTTTCTGCTCGTTTCACTTGTCGCTTCTTCGAATTGAATTAGTGAATGTTCTGTAATTTTGATGTGTTTACATTGAATTGCGTCGTTCGTCGCGATATTTTTTTGCGGATTTAAACAATGATTCTCGCAATTAGCAGGAGAACTTTCTGCAATCTGGTTTTCATTGAATTACTAGGGAACACGATGTAACTGTAATACTTCAAATTATCTATACGGTTGCGTTTTCGTACGTTCGGAGGAATTTGATCTGACGAAAAGTATCCGCACGGAAGTTGTTTTAATTTACGCTGGAATGATTTGCTGATAGTAAAACAGATACAAGATAAACAAAAAATGGAAACGCATCATTGCATGCTTACGCTAGCTTCGCACTCAACACGATGAATATGCAATTTTGTTAATGCTCTGATGTGCTGTCTACGGTGGTGGTGGAACAATTGTCACGATAGATGACAGTAGTCTGTAAGCTTAATTTTGCAACACTAGTGTCTTGCCAAATGTTTAAAGTTTAATTGCGAAAGCATTGAGGCATAGTGAAGAAACAGTACAAACTTCTTTTGCAGCATTTATTCATAACAAAATGGTGCAGGTAACTGTATATTGAACAAATTCTCGATCAACGTTGTTTTTATATAATTTTAAATTATTTTTCAAAGACACGTTCAATGTAAATTATATTGATAAAATTTGTTAAACTTATCAATTTTGTTTTACTCAAAATTGTCTTGTTTTCTTTATCTGATGCTGTGAAATATTATAGGTTCAAACATATTTTCGTACCTCTCGTCAAACCGATATATCTATTTTAAATGAACTTTACATATTTTTATTTGTATATATGTTGTACAAAAAAAAGATAAAATTTCATGTTATTGCTATGTTTATTGTTCTGAATAAGCATAGACTCATAAATTTTTTTCTCATCTGTATGTTTAATACTCAGTATTTATTTAGCTGTGCTTTTCCACGTCTTTACTGTGAAGGTTTAAGAAGATATTTTTTCCCACATATTTTGTTTATTTTGAACTTAAAGATTTTAATAGTGGGAGGAGAATTTTGAAATGAGATATTAAAATACCTTAATTAATAATATATTTAACAAACTGTTAGATTTCATGGAGAATAATAGATGAATTGCTAAATGTTGTATGAACAGATAAAAAAAAAGAATTACAAACTTAGATTTTTTATCCACCTTTAGACAATGCTATAACAAAAACTATTCTTCTTATTGTACATATTTTAGCATAGAGACGCATGCATGACATTTATAAATTTTTTTTTCACAATACAAATGAAAATATTTGAAACTAATTTTAAATAAATACACCAGTTTCGTAAATAGTGCAGAAATTGTATTTGATTCTATAATTATCCACAGTATTGTATTTTTCCAATTAAATATTCATAGATTAATAGTTACATATTTATAAACTACCTATAAGCTATGCATACACCAGAGAAATTCAATCCCTCATCTTTATTCCTTGTATCTTAAATACACGTTGAATCATTGAATGACTTTACATTTTACAGGAAATATAACGAAATATTAAAGAAAAGTTGTATCTCACAGTGTCTTTAAATTCAAAAGAAGCCTAGAATGGTTTCTCGTATCTTCTCGAAGGGTTACCTGCACAAACAGATACGTGTGGTTAATTAAGTCGAATCTCAGTTTGGCATTTCCTTTTTTCCAGCAAACGCGGCAGCAGCTAGCTACGTGACACCGTATGCATACACGACGTTACCAGGTGCAGCGGGGTTGCCAGCAGCCGCAGCTGCAGCTGCAACGGCGGCAGGAGCGGCTTTCCCGGGTCTCCCGTACCAAACAACACCTCAAGAGGCGAGATTGCAATAGGAGCTGGACGAATCGCCGCGGGGGAATCGTCGAATATCGTCGCGCGCGATTTCGGCGGCGTTAAATTCGCGGTTGAAGAACTCGATCCTCGCCGTATAAACTTTCGATCTTCGCCTGTCCTCTGTATCCATCCGCCATTTTGTAATTGGCTCACCGGACAGCCGGGGGAGCAGGACGCGAAGAAGACACCACCGTTCAAGAACGGTGACTCAAACGGCACAGTTTCTTACTAATTTAATCTTCAATCTTCCCCACTTTAATCTTCCTTCCTACGTTCTCCTTGTTAGGGCCAAAACTGGTGCGCTCCCGGCCACCGATTACTTCGGGGCGCGGGAAGAAACGCATTGACGTTGTCATCGTTTAGAAAACTTAACGGAGCACGATGTCGATTAGAGGCTTTCAGTGGACGCGAACATTCTACGAACAGCGAACTGTACATTTAATCGTTAACGACACGAGCGAACCGGGGCTGGAGTCTGCGAGACCTTAGAGTTAGAACACGTTCGAGTTAGGCGTACTCTATGGCAGAGTAAATGCGAAGACTAATGTTTATTCGGAATCGATGTAATCTACCTACGTCGAACAGTAAAATGGAATTCAGGACAAGTTTTTTTTAAGACGCGTTTCTTCCACCAATGTCAGTTTCACGCTAGCCGATTATTCTGTCGCGAGAGAAACGTATGACAAAGCGAAAACGATGCGAAGAAATGAAGAAAATAGAAATGACCGTGCAGATAGAAAGTCACTAGCGTGAAACAGTTTTAACAGCGAGTAGTGTTCTATTTATAACCTACATACACCATCATCGATATCGGAATTCTGTTGCAACCTTCTCGAGAAGTAAATTTTTTAAGAAAATAATTTTTATGTTCTTACGAATATTCGTTTCGAATGTTGATCGAGACTTGCGAGGTTCTTATGAACCTAGACGCACAGGTTAGATTCAGCGAACTTGTCGGGGTTGGAGATTTTTCTATTTTCTGCGTAAAAAATTCTTTCTAACCCCGACGGACTAGATAAACGTGAGTTGTGAAGTGACCACGGAACTTTCGCGTAATTTATACTGATTAACAGGAGGGATTCTTCATTTTACGAATGATCTGACGACAACCAAGTTCGTGCACAAAGTGTTCTTATGTCGTACGTAAATTTAAATTATTTGCTAAATTGTATCTTTAAATTATTTGCGTCCATAACTATGAAACGGAATGGGAAAAAATTGTTTAAACATTCAGTTTACGTCTGACATCGAACACTTTGCGTGATACTCGATTAACTCCGCTGGAACTAAACGAACGAAAAAGTAGGCAAGATGGTTAGATATAAATGTATTTCGACAGGGCATTGTTAGATTCGTGAATGTGACTTGTCGTTTAGGAATATATCGTGTACCAACGATTGAAAAGGACTTTGTAATTGATTCATTAGGATGAATATTTTAGACGCTTTTAGAAACGATGATCACGTCGTAAGTGAATTAAAGTGTCGATGTTGTCTTGAACAATCGCTTAGAGGCGAAACTACTAAGTGTCTTATAGACGATGCCTTTTTTGCGTGACTGGTTAAAGTCACCAAAACGGAGTGATCAGTGATTTGTAGTACGAATCCAATGAGGACCAATGGACGAACGAACGAGTCGGTCTTGCGAAAAATATAGGATTGCATGAAAATAATGCAATTTGTCGTTTTTACGAAATCGTCGTTGCTTCATTTTTATCCGCGTAAAAACCAGCAAAAATTAATTTTAATTTAGTTTCAAACTTATGCTTTTGATAACGAATTGTCTCTAGAAATAGAACGACAATTTTAAATGTTTTCGTTTTATCAACGAAATAGCTGAAAACACCTTTACTTTTAAAATTCATTCCGATGTTTCCGTTTTACATTTGCTATGAAGAAGTTTGACACACGCGAGTTTAATCATTTTCTCATTGTGTTCGTAAATTGGTACTACAATGTTGGCATGCAGTTTTGCGCATGTTCTAAATACAACCCAATATTCGTATTATTAACTTTTCTAAAAGAATTTATTCAAAAAGGTGTCGATAACTTTATTTGTGTATTACGCAGGTCAAAACTAAAAACTTGCCAAGACACATGATTTTTTAAACATTTCTTTCCTAAAATGTAAAAATGTTTAATTTAACAACTTATTGTACTCAGAACTTCCGAATTGAAAATTGAAATTTAACTAAATTATAAATTCTAAAGTATAAATTTTCTTCTAAATTCTAGAATTATTTATAAGGATAATTAGAAATCATTGATAAATGTGTCTGGTTAACGAACACCATTTTTATATTTGTTATGATTTATTCAATCAAAAATTACTATATATTGGAAGCAAACTATTTAAAGAGCCATATTTATGAACTTCTTTTAGTTTTGGCTGTACAGAGCGCTAATAAATTTACGACGCCCTTTGAGCGTCATTCTGTATAAAATACTGTCGACCAACGGAATGTCATGGCCTGAAGAATTCACTCGTCCAATTCTTTTAAGTGATCTGGTGCCTTAATTAGCACGACCGAATAGTTTTAATGGTTAGAAACTAGTCAGTGAATCGTTAGCGCGAAACTATTCGTTAACACGTGCATCTGGAGGGATGAAGGTGAAATGAAACGAGACGACGGAATGGAAACAGAGGAGGAATAACTAGCTAGCGATTAGGGAGACGGAGAGTCGGGCTATGAAGAATGAGACTGTCTAGTCCTAAACCCGTCGAGACCTTAGACGAGGTACACTCGATTCGTTAGAATTGTAAGTAGACGTTAATATGCATGAAGAAACGGAGGAAGAAACCAAAAGTCTTGTAAAAAGTTAGCGAAAGAGACGCTGTTAGAAAGGTTTAATCTTAAGTATTAATTATTACGTAATCGATCGATTAAGGTAATAGGAAAATAAATTAATACCATTGATATTATATTATAATTATTATTATTATTATTATTACGTATTAATTATTATTGCTATTATTTTATTATTATTATTATTATTACTATTGATAATATTATTACTATTACTATTATTATTATTATTATTATTATTATTATTATTGTCATTGATTATTCATTATTGTTCATGTACTTAACGACGAAGCGGAGAAAAAATGTGATTGGGCGAATTTATTATTTGGAAGTTACACATATCTTCCGTCGCGACGAAAGGAAGAACGAAATTCAAGTTGAAACCGTGAGAAACGCGAAGTTTCGTCACGGATACTATGATCCTTTCGAATATCCTATATTCTTAGGATTAATCATTGTAATATATCGTCTGTTATATCGTTCTTCAGTAATATTAATATTATACACTCTACCAATAACGTTAACGAAAAAAAAAGTAAATTATATCATCTCGAAGACAAACGAAGAAGAGAAACGGACGCGTCTTGGTCTTACAATGAATCGCGACTCTTGTTGTCTGTTGCTTTTGCACGTCACCTGAATTCTTCGCGAAAAAACGAACACGATCTTTGATTACAGAAAAACGAAAAAAAGGAAATAAAATCTCAATTTTCACAAAACTTATGTTTTATTTCATTCTCGTTATTCCATTTTCTTTATCTCTCTCGTGTCTGATATGCTATAAACAGACATGAATATTATCTACGTAAGTTAGTAATTTTCCTATTTCCCTAAATTATACTGTAGTATTAGTATGTTTATAATTTATACAGTTACCGTTATGTTGAATTTCAATGTTGCAGCTATAAATAAGTTACCCAATAATGGAATTAAAAAGACAGTAAAATAATAAGATGCATAACCGCAAAAATGTGAATTTGATTTGCAAAAATGGTGAATACGGTCTGCATAAGGGTGAATTTGGCGTTCAAAATGTGTAGTAACAGCAACAAAGTTAATAAGCTATGTTTCCAAGTAAAATATTCCTTCATTATGTTTTATTTTTCGTTTATCTGTAAACGTTTGATATCAAATCAACAGGGTACACATATGTCAGGTTGTGAATTTGCGATCTAAAGGAAAGTATTATTCAGTTGAATAATTTATCTATTGCTTACACTTGAATTGTGTTTAATTATTTGATGCAGTGATCCGCAATATTTTATGCTTAGCGAACCTTTTGGAATATATTATGAAAATGACCTACCCCTTACGTGGGTATATAAAATTATAGTTATTTGTAATATGACAATGGCAATAAAATTAATCGTATATAAACACTGTATGCATTACAAATTTTATACATTTAAATATAAATTATTTATCTCATACAAAATTTCGAAAATTTGATATGAAATTATAAAAATATTATTAAATATTACAAATCATTCTGATAATCAGTGATTTAATGAATAACGAATACATGCAACTATGCAACTTTGATATAAGCTGGACGTTGCAGTATTTTATATTTCTAAATATCTTGCAAATTGTGAAACGGGCACAGGGTGTTGTAAAATTGTATTTTAAAAATATACCACCGTAAGGCAGTAATCGGGTTTATATAAAAGGCTTATACACAACATGTAACTCACTTTCCTTTTAATTAACTACAATAATTTTTTTTATATTTAAAGAGCATTTTAGCTTTTAAAATAAAAACAGTAACTTTAAATATAATAAACATCAGTTTCATACTAAATGGTTACTTCACATTAAATAGCTCATTAACCAATTAACTGTGGAATTTAGTTTGAAAAATCTCTCATTGTTTGCGCATTAAGATCAAACAGTAAAGTATATACTCGTCCAACGCAGAGCAAATGCTGCTATAATATATTTGAACGAAAAACTAAAGTAAAATGAAAAAGAATTACACGTTTATCTGGAAAAATAAATAATCTATCGTTAAAAAAATTAGTACCATTTTGTGTTTTAAGATGACGTGTATACTCGCCGAATGCAGTTAACTGGTAAATGAAAGTTAAGGATAAAATAATTCATTTAACCCGGATAATTAAATACTGTTAATTTTGTATTTGTTCATTCAGTTTGTAACGCAGAATAGACATATTGATGTGTACAAGAAAATTATATTAATTTTTTAGTTATAACATTATTCTTCCTTTAAGTTATCAGTTATAGCATTCAAATTTTAAATATTGTATAGTCAGCAAACCATCCGTAAACTTCTTGTATAAATTTTTTATCTGTAGTTAACATTCTACGGATTTCTGTATAACTTTTTTAATTTCTTATTTGCCATTTGAAATTTCGAAAAATTTTCTTTATCCCTAGGCTGGAGTGCCGAGACTGTATTTGTAACGCAATCAACTTGAACAGTAAGAACTTTCTTTTTCCTTTTGCAATAGAGCGTCTGTCGTAGCTGCGGAACTCGATCTCGTTGTTTTTCATGGCTAAAGATAATCCTAATGGCCTTGCGGTATGGGACGCTGGGCGTCGCGACGGATTGCAAAAACTAGCGAACGAGAAACTGCCCTGGACGTCTAACTTAGCGATGGAACAAAAATAACCAGTCACGTCTTCTAGTGAAATAACTCAGCGATTTGATTCCCTTCGCAAGCCTCCATAGATATGTCATTCTTTGATGTCGTGTCAGTTAAAGTAATTTAAACAATCGTGTGGGGAAGTTCAATAACTGTTAAAATTGTTTTATTTTAGTTTCGGTATTTTTGTTTCGCAATTATTGATATCTTAAGAGCATTAGAAATGATTCTGGAAATAAATAATTTCACTTGAATACTATAATAATGAATATTTGAAGAAACCAAAAATAATCTATTGTTACAATTCTTATAGGGATTACATATCGATCGTATTATATGCTTGGTAGTTCTAGTGTTAAAAAATTCGAAAACTATGTTGACAAAATTTCAATAAGTTATAGAATTTTTATGTGGATTTTTTATTTATTATATTTTATTAACTTATTATGCATTATGTCCAATAATGATTAACTTTCGTTATATGAATCCAGGAGGATGTACAGAATTTAGAATTGAAAATCATATATTTATGATACTGGAGAAAAGTGATGTTAGATTAAAATCACGGGTAATAAAATTGTGTAATAGAAAGCGTAGTATACGTAGGTAAAACCGTTTAATTTTACGGCTAAGAGTTAACATTCGGAAAATTATTCCATGAAATTTAGAATGAATATATAAGTTCTAATAGAAAAATTTATGATATCATAATAAATGTTCCAGACACTGTAAGAAAATATTCGTAGTACTAATATTTTTAAAAGAAGACTTAATCACTAAAATTCATGAAAAAGAGGAACTGATTATTATTCTAAAATTCTTGAAATAGAATGTTTGAATATTCATAAGTTAATAAATGTAAGTTTGTTTCTGCTCATAATTTTTGGGACTGTTTGCTTAATCAAGAATTAAACAAGTAACTGCTATAGTCAATATTCACTTACATAGAAATTTTTATTCTATTGCATTGAAGAAAAGCATTTCCATTAAAGTGTTGGTTTAGCTGTCGATTATATGGTAAACCTGAATAACAGACCACTTTTATTCTAGGCTAGTACAATTCTAATTGATGTATTAAATAAATTAAATAAAGATGTAATTCATATCTTTAAACAATTTTATAGAATGTACAAAATCGTAAAAGTCATAAGTTTAAAAAGGTTCTCATTGACAACGCATTAGTGCACACTACGTTAGTCTATCAGTACATCATTTCTCGTGTATTGATTGTTTACTCAGTCATTTTTGTTTACTATTTTTTTTATTACTGAACTTTTTCATGTAGATAATTTTTATCTTTTATCTTACTTTCGTAAAGTACACATGAAATCAGTCTGCTTTCGACTCTTGGATACTATATATAATAATACCTTTATCACAGTAACATAAGAGTACAATACTAAGAAACAGAAGTCTATATTATGTAAGATTTGATAAAGAAATGTATGATAAGATATTAGAAATGATTAAAGTAATTAATGAGAAGCTATGTATAACGCACTATCAGAACAATGTTTTCACACGTTACACTTAATACCGATGAATGAATCTTCATGTTTATTGGAATAGATCTGTTTTGTAACATTTATAGTGACAAAGCAATAGTTGATATTGTAACGCAGTTGATAAACTCAATATTTAATAAATTATTTATTTCAGTAATGAAATAATATAATGAATAACAATGAGACAAGTACAGAAACGTTTCTCAATCGTGGAAATTATAAGTACAAATATATAAGTACCGTCTGTTGTTGTAGCAAACCTGGCACTCTGGTCTGAGTGGTCAGATTTGAAGGCACATGCTTGCCTGCAGTGATTTTCGGTTCTGATATACGATTCGTTGAGGTGCTCACGCACAGTAATCGGGTCGTGCGATAGAGAGCGCAAAGATCCGTTTTCAGATTCGCTATTGGATTTTTCGAAGCGACTGTATCCGCCCCTATGACGTGCAAGTGCCAGGTTTGCTGCAACGGACGGAACCTTTCTCGCTATGAGCACAAATAGCTCAATCTGCAGTTTGAATCGCAAAAGTTACGAACACAGAAGATAAAAGAAGACTTTATGATCTGTTTTATGGGGGAGGAGGTTCTTTTTATGTTACTAATATAGCAGATTAGGGTAATCGTCATCAATAGGTACTTAACTATACTTTAATTTACGAAAAAAGCGCTCTTGGAGATGGTACACGGTTCTGTTCGTATATTTCGGTAGGCAGCCAACTGCGACAGCAGAACGTCGCGGCGCACCGTGCAACGTTGTCACATTGTAAGACAGAGTACGGTGTCCTCTTCCCTCCTCTAGACGGAGTGTTACTTTCTCAGATTTCTACATTTGTGGAAGATATTTACGCCTAGACCTTTAAAACTTTCAACAATATTTTTTATCTCAAAAGATATTAATCGTATAGTTCGTTCTTCTTTATATCGATCAGAAAAAACTGAACTTTTTGAGAAAATTATAGTTTCAGTGTGTACACTACTTTCGAACAATATAATGATAAATAAATTTTTATTTTATCTATTTCGTTTTAAAATAATAATAAAATTAATGTGACAATACCTCTTTATATAGTTACCCCACGGTGCGACATTCCACATGTAAAGGATCGTGCGTTCGATTACTGTCGTTAGCAGGGCATAAAAATATTCATGGTTTTCTTTATAGTGAGAATGTAATATAGGTGGTGATATAGATTTCAATAATAAATATATACTAGTATGAAAAATTAAGGAATCACGATATTTTCTGTGAAAAATTGCTGATATTCAGACTGTTGCAACTTTCTGAAAAGAAATCGTAGCTCATTTTAAGACATGAAGTTTCTACTTTTATAATTCATTGTGTTTTAATGTAAAATGTTTGTATACATTATATAACCAGTGGTAATGGAAATATACCTTTTCGTTTCAAAAATTCTCTACATTCGAACATTTCTGCAAATATTGAAAACATTCTTTTCACGATTATCTCTTCCATAAATTTGAAGATTGATGTTACTCCTCTACAATACTTCTTTAAAACTTGAAATACGATGTTTCTTACCATTTTATTGAATTATGAATGAATAGTATGCTGCCGGCATTAAAATATTCCAAGATAACATATATATATTTATAATCTGTGTCTAACGTGTAAAGGAGTGTGTTAAAAATAGGTGATGTTTGGGCGATCTGCGCAACAAAATGTTTTGTTACGACACGATTTCTTACACCCTATGGAACAAAAAATTTATGTACCATTATTTCCGGAGATGTCGGGGAAGTTATGAAAAATGCGGTTGAAGATAAGTATACGATAATGGTTATCTCATTTGTTTGCAATTTTATTGTTTCGATTTCTATTTTTAATAATTTATTCGTATGTTACTTCCTTAGGAGCCCATATTGAGTGTTATTTATTATGGATTTTACCCAATAGTTGTTTATTAAGTTGTTCAAAATTATTAAAATGTCACTCAAACATAAAAATGGAGAATTTGTTCACGATGCGATATTGCTTATGTTCTAAGCGATCGTGGAAACTGATAACTCTTCATTCTAAAAATGTTAAATGTTATAGTAAACCAGCGTCAATATTTGTAAATGTTGTAATCTTACCGCTACTTAGGTGGTAATCTGTTGTTATTCGTTACTCTCGCTTTCTTCGAATAATAAAGCATGCCTGACACAATTGTTCAAATGTGGTACAGGTAAACGGATATATGGTCTTTTTTTGACCTATCCAAAATACGACAGGATAGTTACTACATGTGAGCAACATATAACAACTCGTTCACCTATCTTACATTCACATGTGTGTCTGATGTTTCAGTGGCAGATATCGTTAATAGATTTAAGAATGAAGACACAATTGAATCACTTCTGTTAAGTGGTTGACCAAAAATAATAAATGAAAGAGAAAAACGGAAGATTATGCGGAAAATAGAAGAAAACCCGCGACTAAGTGCTTCTGCATTAACAGCTGAACTTCGAGAAGAAACTGGGACATTTGTAAATATACAAACAATTCGATAACTACTTAAAGAAAATGGTTATAATGGAAGAGTGGTAGCAAAGAAACTGTATATCAGTGAAGTAAAAAGTTAAAAAAAAACGTTTAGCTTTCTCAAAAGAAATGATTTCGGAGGAAGAATCAGGAAGGAGTGACGTCGTTTTCGTTGATGAATCTAAATTCAATACATCTAGTTCGGATGGACAATTTCGCCTTCGTTAGTAGTAGCTAAAATGTTTACGTATGATTTTTGTAGTTTAAAGTGGCTGCACTAATTCCCCATACAGAGTCGCGTAAAAAGTAATAAAGGTTCACAAGTGATTTTTGTATTTTATATTGAATAAATTAGAGTTGTGGTTGATGAACACAATTCGCGTTCGTGTTTTATCTTCAATTCATCGTTTTATAAAATAGTTTTGGGAAATAACGCGTTTCACAGTTTGATTATAGATGCTATGTGAAGTTTACAGATGTTTACAGATCCTATCTTTGAATCAAATCGTAAAACAATATTTCGAAATTTGATGTTCCCAATAAATGTTTGGAGACAAATGTTGGTTCCCAAGAATTGAATTATGTTATTTTTCAAACAATTCACAATGATTTTGAAATAACCTGACTAATGTTTTAATAGTTTAATTAGTAATGATTGTATTTGCGTTACTATTATTCTACACTTATTATAAACTAATTTACTTGCTATTTATTTATTTATTAGTATTATTAGATTGCCGATCCTGATGCAAATTAAAACTTCTCAGGATATAATTAGAAAAATAGAATTACAATAGAAAATTGTTTTTGTTGGCAAACATTGTAAGACAGGAAAGCTAAACAAGATTTCAGTATTTCATACTCCTATGTTGTTACGTATCGTATGTATTCTGTGCAACTTTGAACTTTCAGATTTCCTATAAATGCGTAAAAAATTCTCAGTCTATTGATTACCCTTTAAACTACTACTTTACATTTTTTATTGTTTATTATATATTGTTACTAACAGATAGATAATCTCGTAGGAAGAACTTTGTACTAACGAAGACTTTAAATAGAATTTAACAAGCATGAGTATTACTGAATTCTTTTGAATTGAAATTAATTATTATTCTTCTATTATCAATGACTATATTTCAGTAAGTATAAACGTAGAACATCACCAAAACTTTTCTCTATTTTTTCAATAAATTACTAATGACAAAATAATTGTATCGATCATGATTGAGACACAAATTAAAGGGCATGGGGTTAAATTCGAAAGTACAAGTGGATCCCTCCCAGCAAGCTCCTTGTAGTGGACTTGAAAGCTAGCATTATTGCTGATAGAGTAGTTCCTAACGAGGATGATGCTGCGCCGACTGACTGCGAAGTTGTATGACCCATGTAAAAATATGCCGAGCAATTTTTATTCTTTGGTTTAATTAATTCACACATTTCGCTTGTTTCTCTCTTTATTCCGGTTCACTTAGCCATGTACTATCCAAGTGAACATCAGTCAATTCTGCTGACCTCGTACATCGATGTGACCAACTCATTAGATCACGATGGTGGCGTCCGGACTGGTACTATGCTACCGGGATGATCATGTGGGAAGGGCAACACAATTCGCCTGTGCCCATCAAAACCATAATTGTCAAGGAGATCCTACTTCTTCGTAATCCGTCCGCGCTCCTTTCTGATGACAGGGTGTTGAAAAAGGGGAACTGTGGCGCCGGTTGCGATCATCCTCTGATCCGTAGATGAGAGCGCATCGAAACTCGGCACTGTAGTCCGATTGGTCTGATCACGGTTTGCTTCGCGTCACCCTCATTTTGCTCTTTTCTAATCAGAGACTTCTTCTCTGATTTCTCCCATTGTCGAATCAAAGACTTTCTTGATTCACCCCCTTTACTATTGCGACCAATGTATAGATTAAGTCATCCTATAAGGCTAAATTAAGTTGGAATTAAGTTTGCGAATGAAGTAATCGATCATCCACCGTGGGATTCCTCATTTCTAATTATTTTTTCTTGTAATTCTGTGTTGTAATTCTTTTTTGTAATTCTTTCTTATAATTCTATCGTATAATTCAATCTCGTACTTATTTTGTATGTACTGGTTTTATTTGTATATTTCTTTATGTATATAGCTTCAGATTCAAAGAGGAAGGTCATAGAATCATCCGCGTAGTATGAGTATTTTATATTTATCATCTTTAAGTACCTTCTATCAATGATGACATCTTAAAAATCGATCACTTGTATCAAGTTTTAAAATAGAACACTTCACATCAATAATAAAGATACACGAGATATCCTGTCCGTAACATCGTATGTACATCATGATGAGCAGATATCTCGTCCATTGTAGCGAAACATTAATGATTATTAATAAACGTGCATTCGCATGATATACATTAACCAGTTAACTGTATTCGACGAGTATAAACGTCATTTTAAAACGCAAAATGCTATTAATTTTGTCAACGATCAATTATTTATTGTTTCAGATAAATGTGTAATTCTTCGTTTTGCTTCATTTTTTCGTTAGAACATACTATAAACGCACTTGCTCTGCATTTGACGAGGATACACTTTATTATTTGATTTTATTGCGCGCACAATGAGAGATTTTTCAAACTAAATTTCACAGTTAACTGGTTAACCCCTTGCCCTACAATATCTTGTCAGACTCGTGGTGAAGATTTCAAACAGAATTTAACAAGCATAAATATTGTTTAATTTGTTTGAATGTGAATTACAGATTATTCCTCCGTTATCAATGATTATTCCTTAAAGCACGCATTAACATAGAATAAGACTCGATTATTCTCTTATTTTTAATAAACTGTTAATAACAAAGTAGTTAGATCGATCACAGTTCAGAAAGAAATCATAGGGCAAGGGGTTAACACATTGAATATCGCACGATTTCATAGAGCAAAGTATACAAAATAGAAAAAATATATTAAATCATTTGATTGAATTGCAGTATTGCTATTGCACGTTGATCTAGCTGAGTGTCACCGCGTTAGATAGCATTATTTATAATATATAAATGTTTACAAATAATCATCGTCTAATTGAATGAACTATAGTAATTCGATTTGGTTGGGGCCACGGTTATCCCCATGGCATTCGACGTATTAATTACTTCCTAAGACGTTCATAAATAATTTTTTGGTAGCATCGAATACAAATCACCAGTAAACTTAGCACGGACCGCAACCAATTTCAATACCTTCTGAATTGCGATTCGCAAGTCATTGTGCGCTGAAATGATAAGATGTCAGCACCGGCGCTTCATTGATAATACGTCCTCAGAATGATGCCCCCGCTTATCATTCGTTTTGATGGAGGGATAGTAGGGGAGCATTGCCATTGACACAAGACCGAGGCTCAGTTATCTCGCGTTTATTCGCGTAAACTGGAGCGCTCATAGCGCTTAGTGGTTTTTCATTTTTTACTTGGCGAACGAGGGAGGTCACGACCAGGGAAAGACTCGAGGATCGCGATCCAGACAGGACTCGCGACCTGGAAGTCATTCCTAAGTCCATGCGGAAGCACGTGGCCTAACGTCAAGGTGAGACTTAATGGAATTCTCGCGTGTTTCAGCTTCCACCTACGACACAGTTTCTTTCGCTTTTTTTTAGCTATCAATGTCTCTCTTCAAATGATGTGCTTTCGTTTAGGACTTGTCTCATTAGCTGTCATTAGCGAATAATGTTCATTTCTGCATGTTTACCGTAGCACACATTAAATACATTGCTGGCATCCCACGCGATGTGTGCAAATATTTTGTCAAATGTCATGTTACGTAAATAAAGCATGAAACGTTAATAACATTATAGTGGCCATTATCTCAGATATTCACTTAATTTCACTCAATTCGTTTTTATTTTAATTTTCTTTGAAACATTTTATCTTGATTAAATCTTTTCATTGCATAGAAAATGTACCTGCTATGCGATGCTATATTATTGTCCGTTGTATTTGTCCCCGTTTGTCAAACAGGATAATGCTTCTCTGATTCACTATAAATTTTGTCATATCCTTATATTCTTAGGCTTCGCTTAGAATTATTTCAAAGTTATGCCCATTCACATATTTCGTTATATGTGAAGCAATAATTGAATAATTATAATCGTTAATTTTCACTATGGTAAATCGAATATTATCGATAAATTAATGATAATTTTTTATAAATTCCTGTTAAGACTGCAATTTAGCATAATAGCATTCTCGGAGGGTTTCTTCGAGAATAAATATTACTTTTCTTCAGATAATTTATGTAGAATTAAAAATTCAAAGTTTCAGCTGAAGCTGGTAGACGGCAGCCGTCTTTGCGTAGTGTTAGTCTTATCGCGATTGTTTAAATTTAATCATGAAATTGGTCGTTTAAAGGAATAAAATTTCTGTAAAAGTTGCACCAAAGTGTCCCACTTCCTCGTCACTTTGGAGTTAAAAGTTAACTTTTCTCGGTTGAGAAAGCTTCTCGCGAAGTTAGGTCCGCAATTCTTAGAGTGCTTCTTGTAGCACGACGTGGCGGAAGTAACAATCGACTAGAACTCCGTATTAATGCAGTCTCCGAACGTCACAACGAAATCTATACCCTGTTAAATTGCAATTGCGTAATCATCTCAGGTGCCCGTGGTGCACACGACAATTACGTTGGAAACCATTCGTAAATAAATCCATTACACTGACTCTTCGACCGCATGTTCGCGCGAATAATACGAAAGAAAATTGTCATACGTAAAAACCAGATTTTTAGAGATTTCGATTTTATTCGTTTCCCATCGAATTGTATAAGTATCGCAAAAATCCGACACATCCATATTACTACTAGTTTTTAATATTCGTATTTCAGCCCTTAACACTAAAACTACCGAGCATTTAATACGATTAATATATAATCCCTATAAAAATTATAACAATAGATTATTTTCAGTTTCTTTGGACATTCATTATAGTATTCAAGTGAAATTATTTATTTTCGAGATCTTTCCGAATATTCAATGCTTTTAGGATATTAGTAATTACGAAACAAGAAATGGAAACCAGTTATTTTCGACTGGTACGGTACTTCTAGTATTAAAGTAACTCGAGAAGAAAAAACTGTCTGATGGTTCACTGTTTTAAATATTTATGTCCATATTTTCAGCGGGTTAAATGATTTAAAATTCTTAATCGTCAGATTGATTTTTTTTAACGATCAGGATGAAATACATCTATTCTTAGTAGCCTTAACATGTTTAAAACCATAATCCGTGCATCGATGATATTTGAATCACTTAGATAATCTGGCGATGATTAGATCTACCGCGTGAGTCTCTTATCTAACTGCTTTTTAATCAGTGAATTTTTCCAGAAATAATACACGATCAAAATTTACGGATATGCTTAATCACAAAGATATGGTTTACATGATGTAGGAATTGTTATTTGCAATCGGTTTTAATGAGTACAGAACTGTGATGCATAGATCAATTATGAATAAGTATCATAATATGAAGTCACAAAGAAGACGGTCAAAATAACAAATTTAATAATGTCATGACATCGAATCCATGATTTTATATCTTTGAAACAATCTTGACATTGACAAATCTTTGCGATTATATTTACAATTCCTTAATGAATATATGGACCACATAATTTCATTATAATAACTTTTCTGATACATAATCTGTAAAAGTAATTATTTAAAGATTGTAGTACGTAGTATTGAACGTATACAAATTCTATATTTCAGTTCATTTTTTATATAACACAATACAAGAAATCAAATTGTAAGTATAATCTAATCAGAAGAGATGTCTATTCTCTTTATTATCTTATAAACGTACAAAGAGGTTATATAACTTAATCTCTAAATAATACGCTACATTTTAATAAACAAATTAGTATTGCTAAGAAGAAGAAGTTGCGAAATATTTGAAGCAACGTACATATAAAATAATTCTTATGTTCTGAAGATTAATGTCATATCTTATATTACTAACGTTAATACTATACGTGGTGATTTGAAAAATAAATGATTTAACTTTATTCATGAATAATTTCATGGGTAATAATATAAAGTTACAGAAAAAATTCTGAAATTTCGTGAAGAAATATCACGAAAGGAAGTTACATAGTTCGGTTGTTATAATCAATGACTTCTTAGATCTTTATTTACACATTTGAATTGATTTCCATATTTGATGCAACAGTTAAACTTATGAATTTTAATGTTCATATCATTTTATGACTGTTCATGCACCATGGCACAAAGGTAGATTATATCGTCTATATTTTTTCTTTTCCATGTTAAATTATTTTTTCGTATTAGTTTAATCACATTTAAGTCTGAGTAAATATACAGTAAACCAATGTAACGGTACTTTATGTATTAACATTATTATTAATGTAATAATTAAATTTTTTTAACCATTGCATGAAATACACATTTTATGAATATATAATTTCGTTGCACATCTGTATTTTTCTCTTTCTAAATTCTTTTCCTGTTATACATATCAAAAATAATAAAAATAAAAATGTTTCAATTTACCAGTAACTGTTGAATTTAACAGTGAGCAGAAGTATATAACACATAATTGTCAATAGACAATCTTTCTTGAAAAAAGAACTGAAAATTAAAAACTAAAAATATAATCATTTTCTTTTAGTAAGGCGTATATGTTTTAATAAACTCAAATAATGTAATAGTTGAACTTTTATCTTCTCTTTCTTTTTATTTGCATACTCTTGGTTTCTCTCGTTCTCTCTCTTTTCCTTCCTTTCTTTTTTTCTCTTCCTTTTCGTCTTCCTCTTCTTGTTTCCTTTTCTTTATTCCCGTTTCTTTTCCTTTTCGTCTTCCTCTTCTTACTTCCTTTGTTATTTCTCTTCCATTATTCATTTTAATTGAAGACTACAAAAGATTAAAGTACAAATTGACTGGTCATTGATAATTTGAAAATTATTAACGGAAGGAGAATCTTAATTTTATGGACAATTCAAAGTAACAAGTGCTTAAATGCTACAGTATAGTCGGAGGAATGAGCAAAGATTGTGGAATTTGTGGGATTTATCCCCGATGGTTGCGAGATCGTGCCACCCCGAAAAATTTCATCGCTGTGTACGGTCTTCTCGGCACGGTGCAAGCGATGGCTTTCATTTACATCGTTGTCACCCTCACCACACTGGAGAAGAGATTCAAGATACCCAGTCGTACAACAGGTATGAATGCACTTACATATTTTTAAATGTTTAACTCGTAAATACTCCGAACACTTTGTTATTTTCCAAACGAGTGCGCGTTCAAAAAGTTGATAAAAAGGATTGTTCCTTGCAAAGCTATAAACGTAAATTTAGATAAGATGTAAAGCAAATTTACTGCTTTAATATTTATATTTCATCATATTCATCTATTCAAATCACTCACTGTTCAGTTGAATCACTGTGTACCCATTTGTTTGAAATGCATACAATTAACATATCTTTGCAGTCATTAGATATCAATGAAAGCAATAATGTATGGTAATAGATACATGATAATAAGTAGATTTATAAATACCATGGTATGTACATGTATTTACGTGATTATACAGATTTAAATAATATAAAAGTTGAGATGAAATATTTTTCACATTTCTGTTTTAATCAGTTTCTTAACAAAGATCATATTTATATACTTAAAATAATGTAATGGATATATTAATGAATAAAAACGATAGTTTGATTAAACACACATTTTAAAAATGTGTGTTTAACAATACCAATGAAGCATTCCTTTCGAAATATAAACCAGGAAATTAAAATAAGCTACTTAATTCCACTGTTACAATGTTTTCATGAAGTTTCAATGCTAAAATACTTAACTATTCCATCAAATTTTTTTACTTTTAATTTTGTGGAGATAATCACCTTGACAGATGGGTAGCTCAAACAATGATGCCTATATTCATTAATGTTACTGAGTCTATAATATGATTAATATGTAATCCTTATAAAAATTGCAACAACATACTTTTTCTTCATATATTCATTATAGTATTGCAGTGAAAATATGTATCTTTAAAATCAATTGGCAAATGAATAACACAAATAATGATTCATATATTCATTGAGATTATCGAGCCAGTAATCTGATTAATATGCAATCCTTACAAAAATTGTAACAATATATATGTTCTCTTCATATATTCATTATAGTATTGAAGTGAAGCTATTTATTTCTAGAATCAGTTGAAATATTCAACACTTCTAAAGTCTCAATAATAGCGAAATAAGAAAACTGAAACCCGTCATTTTGACTGGTACGATAGTTCTAGCGTGAAACTAAAGGGTGAAAAGTTCTGGATAAATCGTTTCGGTATTTTCGCGAAAACCGATGTTGCCATCGAAAGCCGGTAGTCGAGCGTCGCTGGTGTACACGCGTTAAAGCACTCGCACTTGTATTTGCAACACGCGTGCATCATGCACGGTCGACCCCGAGCAAACATAATCGCGTGTCAGTGTGCGTTCGTCTAGTAGGTAAGTAGTGTGTCGCAATCATAGAAGTGAGAAATCTGTCGTTAGAGCAACGAGCGCTGAACACGCACTGCGAAGACACACGGATATGCATTATACGAGTTTATTGTTAGTCATAATATACGCCAAGGGTACGCACACGAAATACTTTTACAGATGTCGCGAGTCTCGCGTTCGACCCCCTTTTCAGCTGAACGTACGTAAACTGATCAATGCGTTTCGGTCAGAGTTGCTCATCGCTTAAATTATTTTACGTAATTGTTTGTCCAAGATAACTAGCCGAATGAATTTTTGTTAATCAAACACTTCATCTAGGTAATTTATAATCCATAATCATTGATACCTCAGGAGTGCTAAATATACGAACTGATTTTAAAAATAAATAGCTTCACTTGCCGACCGGTTAATTCTTCGAAAACTAGTAGATTTTTCGATAAGATCAACTTATAAGTTCGTGATGTATCATTATATGCGAAATATTCAAATATTATTATTATATTATTATTATTTCATAAGTATTAAACAAGTAATCAGTTTTAATAAAATTTCATATTCTTTTAAATAGTATGGTAGTTGGAAAAGTTAGAAAGGCAGGTTTAAATAAAAACGAGATTTCTCGTTTTCGGTACGCAAAGCGTTAAGTATATTATAGACTCGGTAGTTTTAATGGTAATATATGAATCATTGTTTGAGCTATTTATTTGTTAAAGTAATTATTCGTTATTCGCAGCAGATTATAATATAGATTATTCTATTAACACTAGAAGTACTAGCTAACATGACTGGCTTCGTATTTTTTGTTTCGCAATTATTGGTATCTTAAAAGCATTGAATATTCGAAATGATTTTGAAAAGAAATAGTCTCACTTGAATACTATAATGAATGTTTGAAGAAACCGAAAATAATCTATTTTTGTATTTTTTATAGGGATTATATATTAATCGTATTAACGCTCGGTAGTTTTTGTGTCGATATCATGAAATTGACATTTTTACCATTACTTCTTGATGAAACTTTAATTTGTAATCATTTATTATAACTCTATTAATTATTATCCGAGTAATCATGTTTGGATTCATTCTCATAGAAGAAATATCTAAAGACGAGTAATAATATTTTTACAGAATAATTAAAAGTAGCGAAAAAATTTAGTTTTATGTAGTAAACAGTGGCCATCAAGCGATAGTAATAAGGTTGTAACCAGTAATACGAGTAACTTTATTTCAATTGTTGTCATTTATTCATTTATTTGATATGTTATAGAAATAAGTATAGAAAATAATGTTTATATTCTACAATGTGGTAATTAATATTGTATCGGAACTGGTTTACGAATATTAATGATTATTAATGGATTTGAGAGTACACGAATACTTTTATCCACTCAAAATATTACATGGTTATGAATAATAATTTTTACTTGTCTTTGTATATTTATTTATGGAAAATATCTTTTGAATATTTGCTTTATTCGTTTAAATTTAATTATTTATTTTTGGAGGACAACTACTTTTGTCAGATTTTTATTCCTGCACAAATAGTTTTGTCAATCGTTATATTTATTAAAATAATGATGTAAATATTACTGAACGAGGATCTAATGACATATAGTGTTCTCCACGTAATTTTGTGCTCTGACGATTCCTCAACATCTCTCTACTGTACCTATGATCTTGTAGTGCTATCCGATAGACCTTGCAGAAAAGAATAGTGGTGAGGGTCCAATAATTTCCACCGAAATTTAAGAAATGTACAAAGCAAAAGCTGAAATACGAAAACTTATTGAAAGATTATTTAATGATACATTGATGACTAATTTGTCAAAAACCATTAAGTTTTCAGGTTCAATATTCGAAGAGGAAGTTAATTGCAAAAATCTATATAAAAATGTTAAATTTAAAAATCACAATAACGTATACAAAATAACATAAGACAATATAAATATTTGTTAGATAAATTGTGAATGTATAAAATCAAATTTAACTGAAGAAATTGAATTTCTGAACGTAATGTAATCAACATGCCAAAAATTATATGTACCATCCTACACTTTGAATTTGAATTTGAATTGTAACAATGCTTATTTATTTATTATTACGTTTATTAATTTATTTTAGATTGGTCGTATTAATAATGGAGTTACTAGTGACCATCTACATAGCAATATTTATTTTACATTAAAATGTTCGTTAAAATTAATACTAATATAGGGTACCGGTGCCTAATATGGAACAGCTCCTAATATGGAACACCACAATATTTCGGAAAATCAATAGCTTGATGTGTCAGTTACTATGGGAAACGCCTCATTAGTAATAGAAAACAATCATATTAATAGTTGGTCATCAATTAAGGATTTGTCATTGAATGTAAATCATTATTGTGTGTGGTAGTACGTTAAATTTCCTGAAAGACACGTTAGATAGTTAAATTTCTTAATGTAGGTAAGGCACAAATTTTTAATTCATGATTTATTGAACATTGAACATTGTCATTATTCAAAAGCAATTTGCTGCAAATTTATTTTCTTCTTAAAATAGTTAGTATTTTTCTATCAGAATATGTGGGTTCCTGATATGGAACACCTTCCTTATTGGATGCACATTCTTTGTTAATGTGACATATAAATATAGTTTTATTTTATGGTGGTATTTGCAAAAACGATAATGATGGAAAAAATATGCCCAAAGCATTGTGTGTCATTTATATATCCAATGTACAAAAGAAAAAAAAGAAAAGAATTAACATAATATAAGTTTAAAAAGGTAGAAAATTCGTTTATTTATCCTTTTTAATTTCACAAATATTCATTTTTCCTGATAAAAATGAGTTTTGTCTACAAATTACTTAGGTGTTCCATATTAGGTGTCATTTTCTCACATTGCTGTTTTTCACTTTATTTACATTTATTACCGTGATTTGAAGACATTTAAATTTTTCCATCGTTATCGATCAGTGTACGAATGTTTATTAATTTCCTCATGTTTTGACGCAGATTTTATTGAAAAAAATGCATACATCTCGTTTAGACAAGCTTTTCAAGTCAGGTGTTCCAAATTACGTGCAATTACCCTAGTAGTTTGACCTAGAAACTTCATGAATTTCAGAAGTTCAGTTAATTAAATTAAAATACAGGAAATAAGAGTTTTAATTTTTAACAGACGTTCTAATTATGTGTACAATCTTTGTCGTCCTTAGGTAATGTCTACTGTAAAAATATTATATGAAATAATAACAGAAAGCAAAATATCAAATCTGTGTAATTCGTTCTCGACTCGCTTAAATAAAATGTTAGCCAATGTCATATGATATCATGAAGACATGGTTAATTTAAAAATGAAAATTGCTTTGTTGTCGTTTCGTCTGGCACGAGTTTGAAATTCTTGGAACGATGCGATACCACGAGTAGAAAGATCGATAAATACTACATTATTTATTATCAGTGAATGGTATGTCGACGTCGTGCAGATTAGTACATTACATATATGTATACACAATTGTATGATATGTTAATTACGTATTCTAACAGTTGCGTGAGAAATCGATACAATCCGGAGTTCGTGGTTTTACACGGCCAATGTTATTGCATTTATATGGTCGATCAGTGTTTCTGCATTGGTTCATTGAAAGTCGATATCGGCATAAAATGATATACTTTTTTCAATGTAAAGGACACATCGGTCTTATTAGATTATCCTGTGTATTATTAGGTCTAATGTTACATCAGCATCGCATGTCTATGAATGATAACACATTAACGGCACATCTTGTCATACACGACCATTTTACTTTTCGTGTAGCAAGTAAGAAATGTTGATTTGTTTTATATACTTATTTTAACACTAAAACTACCGAGTAATTAGAATGACTTATTTCCAATGTTTTATAAAAATTAAAAGAATACGTTTCTTGAGACTCGAAGGGTCTCCTAGCCTTGTATTTGTACAAATACACAAATTTCATTAAAAATCTCTATTAGAAACGCTTACATATTTGAAATACTTGCAAAATAAAAATTTTGAAGTAGGTCAATTGGACCCGTCCGGCAGTTTTAGTGATAACACTAAGTTTACGAACGCTTAATAGATTGTAAATTACAAAATGCAATTTAATAGATTGTAAACTACATTTTACACTAGAACTATCGAGGGTTTAAAACGATTAATATGTAGTACCTATAAAAATTGTAAGAATAGATTATTTTTAGTTTCTTTAGAGATTCATCATAGCATTCAAGTGATATTATTTATTTTCAAGATCATTTAGAGTATTCAATGCTTTTAAGATATCAATAATTGCGAAACGAAAAATTCTGAACCAGTTATATTGATGTTTTAAATAAGAAGACTACCAAAAACATTCATTTTTATACATTGAATTAACTCATAACTATGATTTTCTTACTCTTTCCCTTTAGATTGTGATAAATTACTTGGCTGGTGTATTTATTTGTTATACTACGAATTCTACTAACAGTATGGTTGCTACTAACTCTGGACGCAAAACAAGATATATAAAATAAGGTGAAAGGGAGCATTGAAGTTAATCCAATATATGAAGTGTAGACAGTGGATGAACGTATTACCATAAGGCTTTCACAAATTTGTAGAAACATACAATTTCTTATTGTAATTTCGATTTTTTTTTGGTTATAAACCGTGAATAAATTAATATTTTGACGGTTGGTGTTACGCAAGCGTGACGTCTTTCTGCTAACAGTTATGAACCAATGTCAAATACTTATACATAACATGACATTTTGTGCAGAAATTGCGAAGTGCTATCAGAACATTTCGATGACTGATGATCGATTTTACGTTCATCTAGTAAGATATGGCGATCAGAACGTTGAGGATAAAATTCATCCATCATTTGAGATTGATTCAATTTAAAAACTATCTGAAATACTTTCAAAACTCAACTTCATGACGAATCCTTTAAAATTTTTGAAAATTTTTAAGTACTTTTGACTTTCTCAGTTTGCTACTAAATGAACTGATTTTTATGCCATAGTGTCTTTAAGATAAGTTATTTATTAAAAAGATGATCATTATCAGAAAATAAAATAGTTTCGCAATTTATTAATTTAGAAATGTGTACTTCGTAAGAAAAAGTAAAGTTGTACATGCTTAACAATTATAAGTTATTTAAAATATGATTAACTTGTAATATTAATTTTCTTCAGAAAAGTTTTCTAAGCCCTACATCTAAATTTTCTAATAAACTGGTCACTGTTACCAAGCAGTGTGCAAATGTTAAATCATTTCTAAAATCTATATAGGACTGCAATTAACGAGAATTATCTGGTATAAAATATGAAAATGCTTTATCTTAACAGCACATCAATCATATTTGAAAAATTTAATCACTGTACGTTAAAAACAAATTATGAATATATACAACTTTATAAATAATAAATCATTTCGATCTAAAATATTGATATTCTGTCTTTATAACTTCTTGCAGTCGCAGAGTTATTATATCAAAAGTGGCGCCGGGTAGTACATAATTCTGTTTACACTTTTAATAATATTTCTTCTTTCTTTTTATCATACTGCACCATTTGTATCACACAGAAGATTGAAAAGGTATTTGAAGTGTAACTCTTTTGAGATTAGGAATTTTTTGCGAGCAGTTTTTAGTAGGCTTAGAAACTGTTGCTTAGTAATGTCTATAATTCTATGAAATATTTGTTTCTCTTAAAAAGACAGAGAAAGAGATGATCGCCTAACGTATTAAGTGTTGTCTACCTTTTACGTATTATCTTGATTTGTGAACAATTAGAATTTTGCGAGAGCAGGCAGTAAAGATAACGATAAGTTGCGATGAATATTTCTGCGAATAACAGGGATAATGATAGATTTTTATTATGAGCCTAGGAGGGTACATAGTATGAAGAGTATACAACAGTATTCTTACTGAACTGTGTGAAATACTGAATTATTCATGAAAGTGTTTCAAGAAGTACCGGTAAACTGAAATTCACCAGATAAATAATTCAGTGATAAATACAAATGATATGTTACTTTTCTATATAATAATCAATACACACCTCATACTGTTATGTCATCTGTTTACTTCCGTTAGAGAAAGGTGTTTCTATTCGTTTCTGAAAGACAGGAAAACTTTTGTTACGTTTGAAAACATCGTCGCACATGTACAACAAATAATTTCCGTTAGGGTAAGTCGGAGAATGATGGCCCACCTTTTTTAGAAAAAAAATTGTATCATAAATATTATTAATGCCTAACAGAAAAAAGTATGGTATTTGCATATTATATTGATCATCTCGGTTTCCTAACTGAAGGTCGCGCTGATCAGTCATTTAGATTAGATCTGGGTTAGTATCTATTTGATCTGTTAACTGTAGAATTTAATTTAAAAATGCACCTAGGGTATATTTTAATGAAAAATCAAAGTAAGACAAAGAAGAATTACATGGTTATCTAAAAAAATAAACAGTTCATCGAAAGAATTATAGTAGTATCACTTCAGGCTTTACAATGACATATACACATATCAAACGTAGTTAACTGATTAATATTATAACACATTACTCATATTTCATTATTATTATTATTATTATTAATATTTTATTTCTTAAAAACAAAGGTAATCTGCATAATACCTAAGTACTAGAAATAGTTATGAATGTAAATACATATAAGAAGAGTAGTTATTTAAATTGAAAATATAGATGTTTGAGAATCTAAATGAGATCGCACCGTCTTACCTGCAGAGCCGTCTCACTCGGAATTACTCTATGTAGAATAGAAAGATTCTAAACTCTAAAATTTAGAACTCTATTACATCGTTTAGTTTTGTTTTCCAGGATTAATTCTTTCCGGCAACGAGATCTCCCAGATTTTATCTTTGATATTGACCTACTACGGCGGCTCGGGACACCGTCCAAGATGGATCGCGATTGGTGTCGGCCTCAGCGCGCTCTCTTGCCTCGTTCTCGCGCTTCCACATTTCTTGTTCGGGCCCGGAAGGGACGCGATGGCCTTGACGAAGGAATACCTCGACCAAACTCTTCTAAATGCCACCACGATCCCCAAGGATCTGGCAATTTGTCCTCGTGATGTCAAACCGCCACTTTGCGACGAGGAGACGCTACTGGATGTTAGCATCGTCCCGCGGCTTTTGGTTTTTCTTTCTCAGTTTATCCTCGGAATCGGCACCACCCTGTATTACGGCCTAGGTCAAACGTATTTGGACGACAACACTAAGAAGAAAAATACTCCGATGCTTTTAGGTAAACATTCATTGTACTGAACTGAGCATAACAATGGCGGACAAAATTATTCGTACGATGAGAAAATAAAGAAGAAATTAGTCGCTACTGGTAAACAAGTAACTTTAGTTCAATGAATTTTATTCGGTATTTTAATTAATTGTCAAATTAATGTTAAAGTTGTTCAATTTATTGGTCTTATTTGAGGAACTGAAGAAGAAAATTTTCATTAGAAATAGATGATTAATTCTATTATAATATGATTTAAAAGATCAAATCTTTCTTTTATGTATCTAATGAATTCAATGAGTATTATTTTAAATAATTTTAACTTGACAATTTAAATTAATCCAATAGTGGAAATGTGAAGAAGTAAAATGTTGTAAAATGTTCATTTAAAATGTTGCAGTATTACGATTTTCCATTGCAATACTAACCTCACTTTTGTATTTTTATTTGTGTAATTTATTTGCTGGAATATTATACAATATTTGCTAAAATAAAATTACATATTCATTCAGGAGCCACAATTATTTTTGCCAAATTTGTCTCATTCTACGAATTTTTGCGGCTTTTGTTCACCGTTGTACATTAAAAGTGTTTTGCCTTATTCTCTATTGTGTGGGTAAACAAGATGTTTTTAGTATAAGGAATGAAATTATCTAATAAATATTTAGGTTCAAGCATTTTCTTGTATATAAGTAATTGAATACTCAATTAATATATATTATACAAATACTTCACTATAATTTCGTAAAGAAAAAATCTAAAACTTTACCCGATCTCTAATTTTAATTTAATAATTTATTGAAAATTTTATATTATAACAACATTAATCTTTTTGTTTTTAGTTACTTATTGTTTTATGATGTACAGGATATTTCTAACTGTCATGTTACGACTACCACAACGTGATTCTAAGTACACCTTTCATTTGACGAGAAAGGATGCAAGCAAGTGCTCGCAAAATTCATTTTGACCTTAAATAAACGGTTGAAACTTTTTGTTGCTGTATTCTGTTCTACTAATTGTGGAGGACAATAATTTAAAAAAAGCATGGTCGAAGAGGAATAGTATATTTGTGAATTGCTGTTGACGTGCTCAAGGGATAGTAGAGGACAATGATATCCAGTGTCCTTTTCTCTTACACGGTGCGTTACCGGACTAGACACCATAGAACTTCGTCCTGTGCCAAATTGCATTACATTTTGTCATTTTGTACCATAATAGAAGACAGTCATTGTACCTGCTATATCGATTAACTCTTTAGTTCCAGTGGCATTGTCTTGAAACCACATATTTTAATATCAGTAAAATGCTGCCCAGAGGATTAGTCATGAAGCTGTTAGTATGAAATTGATATAGCAATCGTCATTTATTTTTTTGACAGTTAGAATAGCACTTTTTAAAAAATATTAATATTAACGAAGTAATTAATTGATATTAATTATTATTAGCAAAATGATTAATTGATATTAATTATTATTAGCAAAGTAATCAATTGATATTAATTATAATTAAGAAACTTATATTAACAAATATTAACAAATATTAACAAATACTTTCATTAAAAATGATAAGTTATTTAACGTATATTGTGAAAATAAACGTATTTTTCTTACAAGTTTTTATTTAGAACCTAAAGGTCAATCAATATTCGTGTAACAGAAAAGAACACTGGATATCTTGGTCTTTTACTCTTCTATAAGAATTTCAACAGCAATTTGTAAGCTTAATATTAATTTCCAATCCGTGAATTCTTTCAGACTATTTATCCCTGCAATCAGTAAAATATGATGCAGCAATAAAACATTTTAACTCTTTTTTCAAGGTCAGTATGAATTTTGCCACCACTTTCCTACATCCTTTTCCATCAAATGAAAGCTGTAGAATCACGATGTGGTTGTTATGATATCTATTTTTGAAACACCCTGTTCATTTATAAACGTTAAGATGAACAAACTTTCGAGTCTCTTGTTTTGTTTAGTAATTGTTTTGTTTAATTGATACATCTTTGAGTGTGTATCATATGACTCAAACGTTTGTAACGAGATCGATAAGAAATAATTATAATGTTCTTTGTGCTGACTCAGTATTCATACTTTGTTGTTCTGATAGAGGTGTATCATTTATATAATTCTCTTGTTCCTTAAAAATTAAGGAACATTATTAAAAATGTACTATATATTATATATCATATGTATTGTACGTTTTCAATTTTATATCGTCTCTTAGTAATTAGGTTAATTTTAAAATGGATGAGAAAGGAAAAGTACAGCATAAATATGTAACTTAGTATATAGTATACTTCATTATTATTCTATTTAATGTTTGTAATGACTTAGTGTATTTAACATACAAAAAAGTTCTAACATTTCTTATTAATTTATAATTATTATCATATTCGTTATGCTCTGTTTGCATTCTCTCAGTTACAGAATTTTGTTTTGCGTTTCGTATTAAACAGATTTACGCAAATTATTAACTATATAGTTATTAATTATTTTTTTACGATTATTAATTTAATTTTATCAATTCTACTACAGTATACTCGTGTTCAGGTATATAATATTTCAGAACGTTATGAGGTTTATAGGTAAAAAGACCTCATTTTTCTCTGTTGAAGTGTTAAATTTATGATAAAATAACGCAATATAAAATGATTTTGTTAATTTCATTAATATATGTGCTTAATATATAAATAGTACATACTGCAATTAACTGTAAAGATATTTTATATTTCTACAAAGCGTACACTGAAACAAAAACCAGTTATCCTTTTCAAATACGTCAAATTAATTATTTGGCCCTTTTGTATTCATTCAATGTACAATATTTAGTAAAAACACTATTGTAAACGATTTTTGCATGAGTAACCTATTATCTATCTTTAACAAACATTAATCTTTGACTTGCATGTCTACTGAAGATGCAACATATTGTAATTCAAATAAATACAAGACTTATATATTACATAAAGAAATATGTACTGATTATTATTTAAATGTTGTATAGGTTTCACGTTTGCTCTGAGGACAGTTGGTCCGGCAATAGGATTTTTATTGGGCTATGGTTGTCTCAGTTTATACATAGATCCCAGCTTACACCCTGTGATTACGAAAAATGATCCACGATGGTTGGGCGCTTGGTGGCTAGGATGGATTATTCTGGGTGCCACGATGGGCATGTTTTCAATCTTGATTGCTATGTTCCCAAGAGATCTGCCGAGAACGAAGACCAATACAACGAACGACACTGCCAAAAAGGTAAAATTGAAATTTCGAAATTCAACGGTTCCAGAATTGTTACTATTTTTTATAGTTGGAAATCACGAAAAAATATTATAGGAATATAGGTAAGAAAATTAATTATGGTTCATTAAATAGTTATAACGACGGTATTAAAGAAAATTGTAATATACACATGCGAAGATTTACTAGGATTTAACTATATATGCTGTTTCAAAATATTGGGTTGCTCAAAATATGCATGTTTTTAATTTCAATAAAAATCAAAAAGTATTTTATCATTTTGCAAATTGAAACTTTGTTTCCAAAAAGTCAAGAGATGAAAATTGAAGATCTAATTTTTGGGATGCATCATTTAAAAACGAAGACAATCTTTTAGCGAGCTTTTTACTTCAGTATTCTACCATTATTTTTCTACAAGTCATAAAATTATTATTATAGTAATTTTTTGGTTCCTTCTTTCATTTCATTTACAAAATACAAACAACTGCACCAGCAGAAGACATGTAATCTTCCCTCTATAACGTTACCTAAATCATCTTTTTAACATCTTATTTGTGTCTTCACCGTTTTATGAGCATTCCTCAATAAAATCAGAATTCAATAAAAAATTAATCTACAATTAACAATTAAACTTCGATTGTAACCCTTAAGTGCAATTAACGATTAGATTTCAATGTAAGTTCTTAATTTTCTTACGTCTCTTTTCACTTTATCCACCAGTTAAATACTTTATTAATAATTAATTTCTGAAATTCGTTTTGCAATTAAATCATCATTTTGTATATATGATTCTTGATGTTCATCAACAATCTGTAATGAAATACAGGGAGGCAATACAATTTAAAATAATAATAATGTAATAACTAACAATTAATAATTTTTGATTAATAATAATAATCGATTAAATCAGTTATTGAGTTTTTGACGATCAATTTAATTCATCATAAGTATTAATGAGTTAATGAAAATAAAAATTTTTATCAATTAATACTCAAACCTGAATAGAATGACCTTAGAAAAAAGGGATAACAATGAATGAATGCACATTAACGATGACGGAATGAAAGTAAATGCCCTTATGTGTGACCACTTTCATGGATTTTCAGCGTAACTCGTCCTACTCTATTGTCCATGAGTTTTTTTCTTTTCTTGCCCACGCTTGACGAGAATTTACAGAGGACGAATGTTTCATTTCGTTAAGATAACTGACAAGCCGAGTATATACGAAAGAGAGCATAGACACGCGACCAATAATATGAGACCAGCTATGCTTCATGCCTGTGTGGTTAGACACATACAGTAGCTCGCAAAAGTATCCGTTCATCTATACGTATGATATATTTGATCAAATTACTTGTTTTCAATTTGAATTGTATATCACTTCTTAATTAAATGTATTTTAATTTAAAACGTATTAGTCAAGACTCATGACAATATAAATTGTCATAAATTAACTGGTAACTGCAACTTTAATATTTGTTAATACTAGAGCTACCGAGTATTTAATATAATTAATATGTATCCCGATAAAAATGATAAGAATAGACTATTTTCAGTTTCTTCATATATTGATTATAGTATTTAAGTGAAACTATTTATTTTCAAAATTATATCGAATATTCAATGCTTTAACACTGAAACTACCAAGCAATTAGAGTGACTTACTTCCACTTTTTTATAAAAGTTAGAACAATAGGTTTCTTGAGATTCAGAGAGTCTCCTAGTTCCGTATCTCTGCAAATACACAAATTTAATTAAAAATCTTTCGCGAGAACGCCTTCATAGTTTCAATAGTTAGCAAAATCTGAAGTGGGTCAATTTGACTCGTCCGGCAGTTTTAGTGTTAAAATATTAATAATTGGGAAAGAAGAAAACCGAAGTCAGTCATTCTGACTGATACGTAGTTCTAGTGTTAAATATGCAAAATTTATTATAGAAGTAGGTAGATGGATACTTTTGTGAGTAATTGTAAGTATTTGTAGTCATGTTGTCACTAACTGAACATGTCGGTTAGTTTGTATTATCTTCCTTTGTTTTTGACTGCGAGGTAGGGCAGACAAATTTCATATCTTTCACTATTCTCTAATATCTAACTGAACTTCCTGAGGGACGTAATGTTACAAGCAGAAACTGTGTAACGCTTAAACTATCTTCACCACGCACATACAATTATATTGAATGTTCTACAGAAAATTTATAGATACTTATATATTATACATACAGTTTACAGAATCAATTATTATATGCAGAAAACTAATAACAGCATGATGTAGGATGTTTATGCATCAAACAAGAGGATGCTTTCTCATAAAATGTGAGAAAATATTAAAGATTATGAAGTATTCTAACTATATTGATTGTGATCCCGGCTTTCAACTGAATTTAATTTGAAACTTTTTCGAAATTTTGAAGTCTTAACAATCTAATTTTGTTTACATTTTTTTTTAATGATGTTACACTGTTTTTAATATTATATTTAACATGTATTTCAGAAAATAGTTTTTTATTAAAAAGCAAGATGAATATTTCTCTTACTGATTATACTGAAAGTAGGAAAAGTATTATTTATGAATGTCGAATGTGACTTGATACACATAATAGTACTTGTAAGTAAAATTCATATTAAGTCATTTTTGATAAAAAAGTGCAAAGGTTTACATTATTTACCTAATCAATTGAAGTTTGCGGATCGTAATTAACAATTTGTAACACAAATAGTGTATACTTCAAAGAATCTACATCTAAGAATATAACATTCATAATGTACTCAAAATCTTTATATTTTTGGAATTAAATTTTGAAAATTTTAAGATTAAACTATTTAAATGTTTAATCATTTACACTAATATATCTAACCATAGGTGTAAAAACAACTACGACTAACCAATAATGGATGGATACATGGATTAATAAGGAGTTATGCTAAAATGCGTGTATGTCAGATGTTATTTGAAATTAACTTCTTTGAAACTTTATATGACAAAATTTAATCTGATTGTATCTATTACAAAACATTTAATGTGATATTTACAAAACATTCAACATTAATCTGCTTTATTACTAAAAATGTAGTACGTTATCGTGACATATAATGAATTTTTCCAGTTTTTGTCATATAATCACGCATGTATCTGCTATATTCTATAGGATGGTAGTATACCATTGAAGTTGCACCTGACTGCCCAAGAGCAGTATATGACGCCTATGGAGCCACGGAAGTCACTCGAGACTGAATACATTCCAACTATACGAGAATTCCCGACAGCGATGAAAAGATTGCTTACAAACTGGCTGTTAACATTCAACAACCTAAGCGGGGTATTCTACGTGTTAGGTGCATCATCGTACATTACGTTTTTGGCTAAATATCTTGAAGTTCAGTATAGTACGTCTGCAGCTGGCGGCACTGTGATCGCAGGTAAATCGTTTGTGATTACTTATGATTATTAATGATATTTAATAATAATTATTTTCCTGGAACATTTTTGTAAAAATGTTTAGTAATAATTGTTTTAGTAATAATTACTCACCAATGTGACCAGCAATATGGACCTCTTATAGTCAAGCTTGATTGTTTATTGTTGTGAGTTTTGTAATTTGAAAGAACTCTGAAATTCTTCTTGCAATACTTAATTATATATACTAATGACATTTTAGTCAAATTTTCATATCATTTTGTAATAAAAATTAAAAATTGTGCTGAAGTCATATAGAAATAAGATTTTCAGCAAGCCCTATTTGCTGACAGTAAGTCAATCAATACAAAGCGGTGGTTAATTCTCTTTTTCAGTAATATTTTCAAATGTTTTTATCTGATTTCCAAGTTTTAGCCGAATAACACAAGGACACATAATCGTATGAAATCTGAGGAAGCAGTTATTACTTTTCAGATGTTTTTAAAGGGCAATGACTTGATAAAAATGTACTAATAAATCTACTTACAAAGCTCCTTTAATTTCGTGCGACTGCATAATAGGCCTGAAAATGTTTGTAAATAATATCTGAAATTAATATACGAAATCCATATTGAATAAATATGCAGATGATTTTCGTCTAACATTGTTGTCGAGAATTTCAGAAAGTGAAAAAGGTACTCTGTTAAAGGAAAGTTACGTTTTTCTAATGCATGTAATTACAAAAAGGAGATTCGAATTGAAAAATGTCTCCGTTAATTTTGTTTTATACATATATGTAATATGCAAATTTATTGTGCCTATAATGCAGCACAGTGCAAACATTAAATCCCATTTTGCGTACATTTCCATGAAATGAAAAATTGTGTAGTTAAAACGTAGGTTGCTACAAAAGTTTCGAGAATTCGAAATTCAATTGTTTATATTATTTCTATAAAGTTTCATAGTTTTAAGGTCAGAAAGTGCTGACAGAATACAATGAAAAATGTATTAACGTTGAAGACGAATATTTTGAAAAACAATAAAACTATTATTTCAAACTTATTTATAACTTTTCTCATACTTTCTGGAAACTTTGGCAGAAACCCGCGTAATATCTGATATACATATAAACCCTCCACAGAAACTCTACAGTGTGCAATCGATGTTTTACGAAGTAAACATCGGCCGAATAAATTACAGCAGATTGTCAATATTTAATTCTATAATTTAAGAGTGATTCACGTCACTTAAGAGAGACAATTTAACGAAGGTTAAGTAAATGTGGACATTATTTAAATTCTTTTTTCACAATAAAGGAACATAATTCTGTGTGCCAAGGTCCTATATCATTGATCGGTATGGTACTGGGATTTCTACTCTCTGGAATGGTAATTAGCAGATTCAAACCTGGTCCTAGACCGCTTCTCGCATGGAACGTGTTTGTTGGCGTCTGCTTTGTTGCTGGTCAAATACTCTTCATATTCCTTGGTTGCTCAAACGTTGGCGTTAAAGGCCTCGACTATGATACTATGCAGTGAGTACGTTTTCATTTTTATAGCGACTGATGTTTAATCATAATTAGAAGTAATAATTTAAGTAGAGTAAATAATTATTTAAGATTATTGTCATTGCGATCACCATCGTTGCCTTTATTATGCAGAATTCTATGGAATAACATGAACAAGGGGGCATGGGGGGATTTCTTATGAAAAATAATTTTTTCGCTGAGATTTAATTTTCGAGAAAATTAAGTTTGAAAGTCTAGTGTGTGGTTCTGTAGTTATATCTAAACAATTATATAGTTTGTAACTGATAATAAAATATTTTTGATAAAATATATTTTGTCCTATTTTGAATTTAGTAACTCCAAATATTGTGTAAGTGTTGATCATAAAGAGGGTAGTTGTTGTAAATCGTATAGCTAATTAGTTTATTTTCGCCATAATTGCATATGCACACAGTGGATTTTTCAAATTAAATTTTTCAAAATCTAATGTAAAATTTCATTGCATGTTATTCTTTTATTTTTCACTAGGTACTCTAGCATCTACACTAGCATCTTAGCAACATATTGTTCTTTATTTTATTAATTTTTTCTTTTGTTATTTAGTAAGTCTTGCTTTTACAAAGTGCAATTTTTAATACAATTAGTTAAATGAGTTCAATTGAAGTTATTGAGAAAGGTTATAATTGTAGTTTTTGTTAGGCAGTTGCGTAAGTGTTAATATTTCCTGAATAATTGAATATAAGCATTACTTAACCAGTCAGCTGTTTGACGAGTATACTCGTCATGAAGAAATCTCAACGTTTTGTGTTATGATGAGTATACTCGTCCAAAAACAGCTAATTTCCTAAAGGGATATTCATTTTCGAAACAATCAATTTTATACGTATACGTTACTTGAAAATTTTTGAAAAAATTGTATAAACCCGTACACATACTAGAGTAAGGTGCATACTTTTCAAAGAATTAGCAACAGCTAACTCGTTAATGAAATTATCTTCATAAATTTCATCAATATGTCTGACCCGTTTTAATTTTGTACATATTGCCGCAAGTACGCGTAAACAGTTAAAGATTTCCTACTAAATTTTTCAACAGCAATAGCAATTTTAATAATAAGATAATAAGTTCTTTTAAATAACATAACGTAATTGTTTATACATATAGACTTTCAGACTGTATTAATAACCAAGTAAATTATTGACTGTAGGCCATTAATTTATGATAGAGTCTGCTATTAACCCTTTCTGCACTTGACTTATTTTTAATATTGTTGAATGTAAATCTGTATTTATTTTTAGGGAAATGAATTAAAGTAATTTACAGCGGTAAAATTCAACGTTCTATATTTATTTTATTTATTATTATTACACTAAGATTTAATTTTTATAATCTTTTAAAGTGTGGTACTTTTCAAAACAATTTTCAACGTTCTATAACAAATTTATATTGTCATCTCCAGCATGACATACGGGTGTAAAGGTTTAATAAATAAATTAATTAATAAAACCGGCAATAACCGGTTTCATAAAATTTAGGCGATGTATTATTATTCCAGGATGAATTTGACGTACAGTTGCAATGCCGAGTGTAACTGCGTGGCAGTCAAATATTCTCCGGTCTGCCACGAAGCGTCGAAGACAACCTTTTTCTCAGCTTGCCATGCGGGTTGCCGAACGATAATCAACGACAAGGAATTCGGAAATTGTAGTTGCCTCCCAATGTCCGACTCGTTGAATTTCGAAGATCATTTTGGCTACACCACCGAGAGCAAGTCGCTTGTACTGACACAACCGATCTACCTAAACGATCCCCAGATCGTCAGTTTCGATAAAGTTAAGGCGGGACCATGCACGAGCGACTGCAGCCGTCCCTATCTCCTTTTCATGGTTTTTACCTGCATCATACAAACGCTGGCGTGTTCCGGAAAAATTGGTAACGTCCTGGTAAATTATCGAAGCGTCGACAAGAGAGATAAAAGCTTCGCGCAGGGTATTACATTGATGACGATTTCTTTGTTTGCGTTGATACCGGGTCCAATTATTTACGGAGCCATCATTGATTCCACTTGCTTGATCTGGGAGGAGTCCTGTGGGACCAGGGGGAACTGTTGGTTCCATCATAGACGGAATTTCCGGTATCTGGTTAACATTACGTCGGCAGGTAGGTGGTATTACTAATTGATAAGTGAACATGATATTTTGTATTACGGTTGTTTACTTTATAATTAACACTAGAAATACCGAGCGGTTAATACGATGAAAATGTACTCCTTATAAACATTGTAAAATGGACTGATATTCTTTCACACGCGTTGAACAAAACGTTGAAAATCACACACACACACACACACAGTATAAAGTAAAAACAAACTAATAGGCACTTTCCTTACTCGTTTTCGACTCTGACTTACCGAAGGTACGTGTTAAACTGACTACTCGAAATCAAGGCTATTAGTACAAGAGTGATAAAGGAAAATAAGTGTATTGATCTCTGTTTATGCTTACAATGCATAGTTTAGGAGATATTCGATGCCGGCGACCGATGCACTCATCGATGCACGGTACATAGTGACGTCGTCTCCGATCACTCTAATTTATGATTTAGCACTCGGAATAATATCATGCTGCATATCGTTGAATTCGTTTCAAAACATACTAATACATTGTAGGAAGAAAAATATATGATTCTATAGATAGATAGCTATGAAAATAACGTTAAACTCGCATAATATGTCTTTTCATACCAAACAACTTTTGTAAGAACATTCTTTTTCTAACTTTAATACTTTACGAGATATTCCATCGTACACACTTCAATAGTACACCCTGTATATTTGTTAGAGTATACAAGTGAAACTATTTGTTTTTAAAATCATTTTGGATATTGAACACTTTTTAGATATCGATAATTGTGAAAAAAGAAAACTGAAATCCATGATTTTTAGGATCAAGGTAAGCCATAAGTATGTCTCAGAATTTAATTATATTTTTTTTTATGTATCGAGGCGACAATTTTTATGCAGTTTATTTCAAGCAGACGTTTATGAAAGTACATTATTATAAATTAATTTAAAATAATAGAAGTTTTTTATATTTTATTGTGTTTTATATGTTCATAATCTTTACATGCTTGTGAATTGCTCAGTTTATTTATTATAAAGAGTTATCAGTGTTAGAAAGAATATAGAGTAACTTGTTTTGTATGTTTAATGTTAAAATAATACTAACGTGGATTTAATTCGCCGAAATCCAATGAAACTTGTATTTTAATGACAAAAATCTTTTATATTGAAGACGATATTGTTCCTAAATAACATAATACAAGTATTAACAGATTTGGGGTCGTTATTAATACTTTACACTTGTTAACTTGTTAATATTTACTCTTTTGTAGTATTAATTAAATTGTAATCACTAATGGTTTTAATCCAATATTAGATTTGTATAAATAGTATTGGTACTACTTATTTCTGGTATTAAAATATGGTCGATAATTCTATTGGAAGCAAAATATTAGTTGGCTAATTTTTTCAAAATTAATGTTTATTTATATACAATGAGTACGAATAATTATAGTGTTGGGTTTTTCATAAATAATAAGACTTTTATTAAATACACAAAACGCGAAAATAACACTATCCGCAAGACACTGCAAACAAACATAGTATAATACGAATATCTCACAATAACAAAATAGTTACCCGAACAATAAATAAAATACAATCTGTTAAATAGTTTTAGTATATATTTTTCTAACATATAGAAAATTTCGTGCATAATTAGTTCAAGCATATGTTTTTGTTTCTGTACTTACTAAATTTCACATTAAAAATGTTTACGGTGTTTTATTAAAGTGTATCAGAAAGCTAAGAAAGAATTAAATGATCCGACAGAATCAGATATTAAACGACTGATTTTATATATGTTTATGTCAGAAAATGACAGTTAATTTAAAGTGATACCTTGCGAATTTAACTTACTTTAATTTAATTTCTATTAGATAGTTTACTAATTTAAGTCGATGTTTGAAATGAATTCGATCGACTTATGTATCTTTATTTATCTGAATGCAGTCTTTAAAAACATTTAACCAGTGCCTCTACTCCTTCTTTAGGATTCTATAAGTATTTTCATTACTTTGTTGCTGATGGACTATTTGAAATTTTATTGTGTTATAATTATATGGTCCAAAAAGATCCTGAAAAAGATTATGACATACATTTATCAATTCTCCTGTTATATTATTAATTGTACGTGTTTACTTCAGTTGGAGCAAGAAATTATTGAACGTTTCAAAAATCATAACTTGACTAACATTATACGATATTTTGTAACACTAAATCATAATGTTAAAGAATTATTTCAAAGTTATGTTATTGAAATTCCAGAAAATGTAGCATTACAAATGTCTTTAAGTTTTTCAAAGTGTACAAATGTCTGACTTTTAATTTTGAGCGATTATAACTATTCTTAAATTCAATGCTTGTATATATCTACATACGTAAATAAGAATGAGTCGCAATTTTTCCTGTTTTGAGGAGAAAATAATCTGTTACGCTTGTTGTTAGCTTGCCTCTAGTTGGACGTGTGTAAGAGATATAAAGGTCGCTACTATTTTTTCAACTATAATTATGGAATTTTTTTGCGTTAACGAATGCAACAAGCTACTTTCTAAAAAAATTTTTAACCTATCTACATCCAGAGATCCATCAGAACACACAAAAATTATATTTGAGACATTTTTTAAGTAACACGTAAGGTAAAAGCACCAGTAGTTGATCAGTTAAGACAAATTTTCTGCGTGAATAATAATAAATGTTTGCTCTTTTATTAAATGTAGAGACTCTATACGTGAAAATGCTGTTTGAACGTTTTACATTATGTAACAAAGCAAACTTTTTTGAAATAGTTATGTTATCCAAATTTTATAAATATTTTTGAAAATTCAATACTTGTGTCAGAAGTTGACCATCTGTTAAAACGAGAAAACTAGTAATTGACCATATGTTAGTTAGCAGTTGACCACTTGTGGTTAAACCAAAAACACTAAAGGTAATTATTTTAATATCGTTTATTTGCGACGATTATGATAAATTACAAGTAAAATGATAAATACACATGGAAGGAAATTAATTTCATGTTGGAAATCGGAGGCATACAACCAACGTCAATGAAATAAATTGTTAGTTATTACGCTAAACAATTTCATTTAGGTGAAAGTGTTTCGGTGTTGAGTCACTAGGTGCTGTAGCATATCTGTCGCGCCGTTATCGAAAAATTGTTACTTTTGAAAACCTTATTTCTTACGTTTTCCTGAGAAATAGTCAACTACTGATACCAGGCCAATTATTTAATACCAGTCAATAATTGCATTTATATGAACATCCTGTACACATAGTTCTGCATAGTTGCGTACAGTAAATCATATTCTTGTTTAATGTAAAATACCCTTTCAGGTTTTTCGACGATAGGAGTTCTGTTCGATGCGGCAGTCTGTTATCTCGGAAAAGATGTGGATCTGTATGGCGCCCAGGAGACCGACAAACGTCGCGAATTTATTAAAGAAGATTCGGCGCCGTCGATTGTCGGCGGTGAGAAGAAGAAAGAGATAAATGGAAATGTAAATTAGGAGAAGTGAAATGCAGCTGTTTGTTCCGATCGTAATTCGAAACCACTGAATGATATTGACATCTAGGAGGCTTAAGATAATAAGGAAGTTTCAGATAAGATTGAAACTGCACGAGAATCGTTGGGTACCTGAAATTTAGAACGTTCCATGACCGAGAAACGATTGAGGGAAGAGTGGAAATGGAAAAGATGTTTTTTTTTTTAAATAC